TTTATTAAATCTTAGTTATATTATTGCACCCTAAAAAATTGCAATTAAAATAGCAATAAATATTTATAAACTAGCATTAAATAATTCGAAACGAAATTTTAGCGGTATAAATATCTGTATAAATATTCCTATATATAAATAAAAACCTTGTTATAATTACCTACTGAATGTTGTCACATAACATTTGTGGATTTGGTTTCAATTTTCGAACCCGCGGTTTAATACCTATATACTGCAATTTTTTTCTCAATTCTAAAATGTAATGAAACATTTTCGGCATTATTACCCGTGGAAAATTTTTGAAATAACTGGTGTAGCCCGACAACCAAAAAGATTAAAAGAACAATAATGTAATTAAATTTTCATTGGATATTTTCATGAATAAAATGTGAAGCGAAAAACGTTGAAAAGTATTTGTCATTTTTTGAGATGTGATATTAAAAATATATGACATGATATTTACAGGTAATGTAGTAGAAAAGTATTTTGTTTATTGGTGCGTAAAAAACGGATTTGAGGGTGGTCTTATGATAAGCTTGGATTTTTTTATTCTTTTCAACTAAAAAATATCCAATAAAACATTACGGTACATAACAAATTTAATGTTCTGGTCTGAGATAAAATTATAACGTAAATGGGTTTTTAAAATACAACTTCGACGGCCCAGATAGAAAAGTTTATGAAACAAAGTTTTATCTAAAAATGTTTTTGAACATTATTATCAATACAAAATTTCATTGCATTATAACCATATAATTTTTATTTATATATTTTTATTTTTATTATATTTAACCATAATAAATATAAACGATTTTTTCACCAACCTTCTTTTTATTCCTTCATTTCTGAAGGTTGGTTTTAACAAGCACAGGTATCCTTCGTTAAATCCGAGAGTTAAAAGCACGCTAAAAGGGTGCCTGGTCTAATTACTCGACAAAATTGAAAGCCATGATTCAAAACGTTGCAGCAAACTTCGTAACGACACCAAATTTCACGTTTGAACTCGTATTATTTACGATAATCTGCCCATTACAATAGCGCATTCATTTTGTCGATATTTGATCAAAAAGAATGAATTATCCGGAATGGTTCATATTTCAATACATGCAGGAAGTGAACAATTAATTCCCACTTAGCCATTTCACGTCTGCTTATATTTTAATTACCAACTAGTTACCTATTTAATCCTACGACGTCGTGTCTTTGCGAATATTGCGAAGTTTGTGTGCAATGAATATGGATTGTCTTCAAAGTTTGCGAAATGTTAATGTATCTTGTTATTAGAGAGAGAAGGAAATGTTTCGAGATGGCGTACTCTGTAACTCAAAGCATCATATTGCACTACGACGATGGTTTCTATGTAGGTCATTATCTGACTATTTAGAGTTGATTTACACAACTGTGATAATTAATTTAACTGTTTTAAATATAACATTGCCAAATTTATTTTATTGTCACAAAATAGTTTTATTGAAGTTAATGCATTTAAATTTGAACTAACACATTCCATATTAGACTTTTGAATTTGCATTTCCCAAATAGTTAGTTCATTTTTCAGCCAATATCATTAATCGGCCGAATTACAAAAATCAATAAGAATGGACTTAACATCAAGACTAAAGTGCTGCTAATACATCTTCTGAGACGTCGAGTATTGGTAGCAAGAATCCCAGTGTTTGAAAAATCAAAGAAATATATAAAAGTTGGTGGAAGAATTAGACGTGAAAGTTTATATTGAAAACTTGTAAGAGAAAATTGCATTTTATTTTAGAATGATGAAGAATAGAAGACATACAAGAAGAATCATAGAAAAGTGATGGGGAGAGTGAAATAAAGAGGGCAAAGATGAATAATAGTAATAATAGAAAGCGATGCCAAATATACAAAAGAAGTAGTTGAGCATTTTATGAAAAACTGACTAAGGAGCCAGGCATTATGACATTATTGTAGAAAGAAAGTCTGTCAAAAATGTTTTCAGTTTGAAAGTGATTGCAAAAAGAATTACACCATAAAAATGATAGAAAAGGCTATAGCAAAAATATTAAATCCAAGAAGTATACTTGTTAAGTTGTGGTAGAGAGTTTTTAGCTGTGAAAAGTTCGAGAATACTTGGACAAGGGTCAAAAGGCAATAAAAGGTGGGGTTGGGTTGGGTTGAATTGAATAACAGTATTGCATGAATACAAGGATTGTAAGGTGATGAGTAAGAAAGCGGTATTTGCAAATTAGGCAACAAGGAGCGATTACCAGCATCAAGGGAGTAAAATTTGTTCAAAATTAATAGAGAGAAAGTGAGTAACGTTTCAAAGAATAACTAATATCTTCAAAGAAAGTGAGAACTCAACAGATTATGATAGGAGAAAATTTAATAAGTACCAAAAAACGAAGAGAAATTAAACTGATATTGCTGAGAGGCAAAGACCAAGGAATTCTGTTTACGTTGGCTAACTCAAGCGGTTTTCGGTTATGATGGAGCTTTGGTAAACGGCCTATTTCTCAAGCCATAAGTTTTAAATAGACGCTGCTTATAGGCAATAGAAGAAAGCTGGTTATGTAAAGCATTTGTAAACTGTCGGTTATTTTAAGACAACTAACTATGATGAATGCAACAAAATGTTGGTTAACCAGGACATAGTTTACGCTGATCCTTTTCGATTATTCTGTGGGTAAACTCACTGCCAACGAAGTCCAAATTCATATTTTACTAGACTATGAAACTTGATACATTCTAGCTAAGTTTCTCTTGTACAACATGAGTGTCAACTCCTCTTGCATGCACGCTGAGGTGAACGAGTAGTACCCATGTAGCTGATCCCAAGCCCAGTTACTGGAAGAGGACACAAATTACATATTTAAAGAATCGACAAATCTACCTCCCCAAGTTTCCTAACATAATCCCTAAGTTAGCAGCAACATTAATGATAATTTGGACATCAACATGATTAACATTCGTCACGTTTCTAAATATCGTATGTGGTAGTCATTGCTTCTGATGACAAATCGCAACATTGATTCTGCCCACCAACGACACTGTTATAATGCTATTTATTGTATTACATTGCTTACAATAACAATAGGGCCGTTAAGGTCAATCGATTAGAAACACCGTCATTCAAAAAATCGATAATCTAAATTAAATTAGACAGATTAGTAAAGTTTTCACATTCGAAAATTATTTAATTTTTGTAATAATTAATGTAAAAGTTTAAAATTCCCCACCCCCGACTCCAGATGACGTTTTAAGTAAGAAGAAAGAAATCACAGACGTAACGTTCTCTACCGTTTTCTTCTATTTTCTTCTAGCGCATAAGATTCGTAGCATTGTCTCTCTCCAGGAATTTTATTGATTTTTATACGCTCCAATCGTGCGCTCAAATCTGAGTGACGTACTTTGGAGTTCGCGCCAAGTGTGTAGTTTCAAACTTTATTATTTCTTTTTTGGAAAAACTAAGCCTCAGAATCAAAAATTAAAAAATATAGGGTCAATCAATTTTAAAAAACTTTCGAATAAGCCAATAAAAAAAAATACTTAACGGCCCTATTGTAGTCAACATAGTTCCGGACAATTTTCAAAGACTTTGTCTCTAGCTATATGAATAATCAACGTATTGAACATTATTCAAGCCACAATTATTTTAATTAAAAAAATTGTGCCAAAAATTCTGGTAAGCAAGTTTAGCTTTTTCATTTAGCAATCCTAAGTATTCACAAAATAATGTCCACAATAAACAAATATTCACCTTCACAGTTTGTTGCTCAAATTCTATTCATATTCTTGGTGTGTTGGAGCACGGCGATAATTCAGAAAATCGTTTTAAAGTTTTCCGACTTCCTCAATATCAAGCCACTTCTAATCGATAACTGTGCGGTATCTTTGTTTTTCAAGAGAACTTCAGTAACTTGAGCTAAGTGCAGAGCCTAAGAGTGCTCTCTTTGTCATTGATTTCGTTGGGATATCATTATGATGCTGTGTAGCATCAACTTAAATTGCATTAAAATTTTTGTAGCTGAATAGTCAGTGTTTTAACCTGCACGCTTCATCTATAATTGCTTTAAAAATAGCGATTTCTTCATCTTAGTGGAGAGGAAAAGATAATGGAAAACTAATGTAAACAAACAAGCCACGGAGTGGGCGATAAAATAGAGTGAGAAATAAATAATAGAAACACAACAAAAACCAAGTTCATATAAATACAATATACTTAACATTATTTGAATTGAAAAATTTAATTAATACAATCTCACTGGAAAGCATAAGACCCAAGAAAATCAATATATCTTAGACTAGCCCCAAAGTATTTAACAAGGATTAGGCACTATTTCTCTAGAAGCACTATATAACACTCATTTAACGAGTACCTAGAGTTCAATATCATTATTCAACATTAAATATGACCCAGAAAAGAAGTCTTACCATGTTCTTATTTTTTTTAAAATTTTATTATACTTTTCACGAACTTATTCTTATCGTCCTATTAAGTCTCATTATAAAATAATAGCTTTACTTGTATATATTTTATCAGAAATAAATTTATCTTTTATAGAAAATAACATTTTGTTATTTCAACGCGTCGTTAAAAATATTTGGATGTTCAATTCAAGATCATAATTGCTGAAATATCACTTTGCGAGGGCTACAAATTCTTGACATTTCAACTTCAATGGACGCCGTCGTGTAATTAAGACTTAATTAAATTTTATTATGGGGTATGCTAACGATGCCATTCTGACGTTGATACATCAGCATGCAATTGGAATCCTTTGTGTTCTCTCGGTCTTTGAGATTTTTAAATTACCCCAACGTTAAATCTTAATTTCTGTAAAAGAAACCCCAGGAGGAAAAGAAACTAAAGTGAATCAATTTACAAACATTTATTAAGTTCCTTCTTTTTAACAAAAAAAATTCTACACATTTATTTTTAAATATTTTTTTTAACATTATATGAGAGAATATAATAAATTATAAATAATTTAATTTTTTAATCTCTACGTTTAATAAACATTTACTTTTTTAAACTTTTCTCTCTTATATTAAGTTTTTATTAAGTTTATACAGCGCATGTTTTCGTGGTTTTCGGGCTGGATTGTACCCGAGTTAACGTATTGTGTTGGTTAACGAATGTGTGCTGAATATATATCCTCGGGAAATATAACTTTTGGGAACTTCCTGAAGTATCGTACCACTGCAACAGAGATTTTCCAGAATTTTATTGCAAAATATTCAAAGCTTATCTCGCGTTAGTTTGAAAAAGTCGCGTTACGATCGGTTTCATTTCACCGCTAAAAACGAAATAAGTCAAACTATAAATTTTATATGTTGAAACACCAAAAATAAACCTTTCGATTTATTATACTTAGTGTTTCAAGAGTCTTAACGGATTAAGAGGGATTAAGAAATGAAATAGTATCTCGAAAAATATAATAAATTAAAACAAAACATTTTTAGGTATGTTATATGCATAATGATAAGGCTTATGATAATAAGGATTAAGTTAAAAGAAAATTTAAGTTGGTTTGTATTGAATTCGAAAACGAAAATACAGTAAAAGCTCGATCTAACAATGCTAGTGTTGTAATGCTAGTATTAGTTCCAATCTTAGTTGTTATTCAGCGCTAGGTTGTTGTATATTTTGTGTTGAAATAACACTAGACCTAGAACTAGAAACATTTGAGTTTTGCCATCTTAAGAGACGAAGGGCAACACCCCAATGTTTCTGGGTCTAGGTCTAGTGTTAGTTCTAGTTTTAGTTGTTATTCAACGCTAGGTTGTTGTATATTTTGTGTTGAAGTAACACTAGACCTAAAACTAGAAACATTCGGGTTTAGCCGTCTTAAAAGCCGAACGGCTAAACTCGAATGTTTGTAGTTCCAGGTCTAATGTTAGTTGCTTTTCAGCAACAGATAACCAACTCTGCTTCAAAATGTTTGCTTTATCTTCATAACAATGACAGCTTTTCAAGAAAAAATGTGCTCCAAATTCAAGATCATGTTAATCAATTCTTACTTGAGCCGTTATTAAATATATTTATGGTTTTGCGAAATATAACTTTCAATATAACCAGTCTTTGTTCACGGAATTTTGTGGTATAGTGTCAAATTGTAGAGATCCATTTAAATATTTAGGATCAAAGTACTTTTTTTTATAATTTTTTAAAAGCTGAAGATTCTATTGAAGGTCTTAAAGAAATTACTATTGATAATGAAGTAAAGCCTGTACATCGTGTAGGTATTTTAAAAAATGAAGAAACGAAAACTAAAGCTGTATTTTTGCATTTAAGGTTTCAATTTAAAACTTTTTTTGGTAGGAATAAACTATTACATCCAACATTAAATTATATGGATAGTTTGAAATATAGTGAAAAACTGACAAATTTTGTACAGGGCGAACTATGGAAGGAAAAAATTAACTTGTGTCGTGAAAAAACTGCAATCCCGTATTTTTTGTACATAGATCATTTTGAAATAAATAATCCTCTCAGGGAAGCAATCTGTTTGTAATGTGTATTATTCGTTTCCTTGTTTGCCAATGAAAGAGTCTAAACTAGAAAACGCAAATTTTTTATGCTGGAGTAGTAATGTCAAGGCATTTAAAGACATTTGGAAATGAAAAATGTTTTGAATATCTCATAGAACAAATAAAAGATTTAGAAATCAACGGAATTGCAATTGAAAAGGGTGCCAATAAAACTGTTAATGTTCATTTCATATTAGGGCTACTTGTTGGAGATAATCTAGGGTTAAATTCTTTCATGAACAGTAGCAAGTCGTTTTCTAGTAATTGTTATCTTAAAAATTATTAAGCGTCATCATATAGAGCGCTTATTGAAAAAGTTTGATATGGGCTCTTAGATATTATTTGAGCACAATTTGGAGCAATGGCGATATTTTATCGGAATGCCAATGAACCCACTAACGTCAGTCAGTAATTCTCCATCAGTTTATCCTCCTTTATTGAATTGAGGTCTGTCAGAAATTCTCCACCATCATCCACTTCATCGAGTAAACCTCAGACACCCTCTCGTGAGCAACGTTTCTCCCCTTACGATAGACGTTCGCCATCTCTAGACGAAAATACTAGTGCAGTCAACATCTTACTTTCAGCTATACTGAATGGATCTCCAAAAGGAAATATGTTAGTGGAGTACTATAATAAATTTTCTTGCTTTCAAGAGGAACAAAGAAATTCATTAATTGTATTGATTGCACATTATTTTGAAGAAAAAGGAGTCAAATTAACGCTATCTGGTAGCTATCAGCTTGAAAAAGAAATTTTGGAAAGATTCCCTTCAGAAAAGCTTGTAAGTCCTAATTCTGTCTTCAAATTGAAACTTCTTTCAAAATCACCATAATTTATTTACTGACATATAATCATTATAATAATATAGTATTTAATTGACAATTTTAAATGCAGGAGTATTACCGCACGGAAAGAAGAGGTAGGATTTATCCTAAGTACTATAACTCAGTGACGACCTTCAAGAGGGGTGTTTCCAAATATGTAACTTCAATAATAACAAAAAAAGGTGAAAAAAGATAAAGGCATGGGGGTATTCTAACAGGTAAATCTGCAATCACAGCTTAATTAAAAGTTCTAAAAAAAACCTATTTTCAGAACCTGAAGAAGAATCCTATTTGAGGGCTCTTAAATTCGATAATCTCACTTCAGAACAGTTTGATGCTACATGGAAAGCATAAGGTATCAAAATGTAGCAACGAGATCATCGAAAAATGGCCTTTTTATAAAACCCCATCTGGTTATAGACTGGTATGAATTCTAATTCAAATTTTTTTAAATTTAAGTGTATTTTGTTTTAGATTGACATGGATTTCAAATCAGCGTTTAATAGCAAAGATGGGTGCTGGAAGAATGGGACAGAGTTTGGCAAAAAATCTATACTTTTTTAAGCTTAGAAAACCATATCAAAGACAAGTCAGTGAAAATTTTGATTGGGAAGCTTGCTGATATCACAATCTCTGAAAGTAAATCAAATTGTTACAAAGACCATTTACTTTATTGTAAAATTAAAATTTTACCATTTTCTTTGTAACTAAATTGTCAAGTTTTTTTATTATTTATGCTTTCACAGATAGACGCAATGCTGCTTTAATGTGGGCGCTACATGGCTATTTGGTGCCCACAGCCAAAAGTGTCAAGAAAGATGTGACTGGAAAAAAGTCAACCACTAGATACACCATCAAAGATTCGCAGGAAGCAGTAATATTTGTTGGTGGTAGTCTTAGTGAAGTAGAAGACCATCGATATATGGTATCGGTAAAAGTATTTTTGAAATCAAAGAAATATTTACTCAATTTGACGATATTCGTTATAAATGTACAAACATCATCAGGGCTTTAGACATTTGTTTCAAAATAATGTATTTGTTTGATTTAGAGTTCCCTCAGGAGAGCGAAATGTCCTTTAGTTTTTTATAAATTAATTTTTTTAGGCTCAATACGGCATGCAAGTACCCCAAGGTACAAATCTTTTATAATTATTTGATGAGTGTAATGGAATAAAAGAGACTGTAGTTTTTATGTAACTTATATGTAACTGTAACTTTTATGTAGATTTATTTTTTCCAAATTTTGTAATCATTAGAGCAATAAAATAATAGTATATATAAATTATTCTGCTGATTTCACACAAAATTATACCTTGTCAAAACCTATCATGGTCGATTGATTATCAAGTCTTGTGACTTGTATAGATGTAGTCTAGAAACTATGGTCTTTTCTCATAGTAATCATTCAAGTAATTATAATGATAACAATGAGAAAAGGATAAGTTTTGGAACTACATGTTATTCCCTAATATACATCAGAGAACACAGTTAGTACCTACATTGTATTAATGAAGACCACTTCATTGAATAAAGAAAAATAATTCATTAAGACAAAGATTAGTTTCATTCTATTAATGAAAATCGTCAATGAATTATGTTCATTAAACAATGAAAAGTTATCATTAAATAATAAATATTCGGGTTTAGCCATGCATCTCCTAAGACGGCTAAAGCCGAATGATTCTAGTTCTTGGACTAGTGTTAGTTCTACTTTTAGTTCAATAAAAATATTTAATAATCTAGCGCGGCATAACAATTAAAACTAGAACTAACACTAGACCCAGAATTAGAAAGTTTCGGGTTTTGTCATGCATCTTCAGAGTCTACTATCCGTGCAAAAAGTCAAGGCCCCTCACTTTAGAGATCGATATCATCGTAACCGCTCGATGGACAAAATTGCGGTAAAGTTTATTGTAATCAGTGAACTTTTCTGCGTATCACATGTTAATTTGGAAGTTTTTGGGTCCGCGGATTTTCTTTTATCGCGAGTTATGTGAAAAAAGTACCGTAAGACGTAAGATTTAGTAATAATTTTTGAGAGTGTCAACAACTTTGTCTACTTTGCGATTTTTTTTCTCCAAAACTATTTGATGAAAAATCGCTGTTTAGTAGGATGCGGTTACGACCTGGCGGATTTCAACGCGGTTTTTACCAAAATATGTTAAATAATGTCGGTTGTCGGATTCCATTATCAGTTTTTCAAAATTAGGACTCCCTATTTTTTTAAGAGCGATTTAATGGAATTACAAATTAAAGAGAAACAGAAATAAGCTATGCGGGGAGAGGAGGGTTCCGTCCAATCGGAACAGATGGTGCGTCCCAGACAGTACGTCGCGCCTTTATCTTACCTACATAAAGAAATAAGGCGCGACGACCATCAAATTACATTTCAAATGAACATATGTTGTTGATATCGATCTCTAAAGTGAGGGGCCTTGACTTTTTGTACGGATAGTAGTGTTAGTTCTAGTTTTAATTGTTATTCATCGCTGACGTCACGAACGGGCCATCGAGCTGTGCACCTCCTCCCGTGATGTAGCAGTCCTCTTAAATTCTACCATCGAGCTTACTGTATTTACATACGAGCTTTTACTGTATTTATACTGTGATTGTTGAATGTTGTTCCAAGTAATGCTTTAATTGAAAATTTTCAAAAGAATTCTCGTTAACATCGATTTAATGATCTGATTTCATCAAATTTGATTTAATAATCACTGGAATTAAATTTAGCAAACAATTTAATTGTCAATAATCCTGCATTTCTAATTGGGAGCTTGATTCTATTCCAACAACTTCGGATTAACGAATAATTAAATTTAACAAACATGTACCCATCTCACTTTATCGCCAAAAATCGATCACAATGGAAGCTGATTCAATTAGATTATTTGCTATGGTTTCTAGCAAAGTTCACAGTTCACCAAACCGGACCCTTGTAACACTCGAAACGGTAGCAAAGGAATTTTGGGAGGGCATTAGTGAAATTAATTCAGATAAGATCGTTGAATACATCTGTATTTTCAATATAAAGAAAAATTACAATTCATAAATTATTTCTTTGTTTGCGGTAACTTGAACAATATGATTCAAATAAAGAAAAAAGTGGGTTAAAAAATACTAAAGGTAAAGTTACAAAGGTCATGAATATCGATGATGAATGAATTTATTGCGGAAAATTTTCCTCTCCAAGTGGATGTTTATTTTATAAACAAACCTTCAATTGAATTCATTCGTTTCATCAATATTTCGTGACCGCGGATAATTTCGGTTAGTTAAAATTAAAATTTTTCAATTGAAAAAGCCATATTACACTCACCCTTAACTGGTGCGTTTGTCTCGACTGGAAATTGAATTTTGATTTGAATAAAAGATTCCTCACTGATTTGCGGAAATTTTTCGACATGACGCAATATATAATTGGGTTTAAAGCAGAATTAGCATGCCCCAATAACAAAAGGTATTGTTGCAACTTTGCATCAACTCTTTCAGTTTCAAATAAATCATTATATAGATTGAAAAAATTATACGGCAACCAACATATCGCAAATATAAATGCCAAAAGTAACAAAATGAGAGCCACTCGTTTTCTTTCTCGCATTATTCGAACACTCTGAAAATAAAAAAAAAATTAACACATTTTAAATCTAATAAAACTACTTGAACGTGTAAAACTTTTCATTACTCTAGTGTCATTAATTAAGGAGTTTGAACTTGAGGTGTTTGAATCGTGACTAAGATCGTTTATCATACTTAAAACTAAGTCGTGGAGTGTACTCCTCGAGTTTACGACGGCAAAATATTACTAAAACGAACTTAGTTGGATGGAATTGCTCTCACAACTACTTATAAGTGATAAGTTAAGTAAATATTGGAAGATTAAATTTCGTTTATTACAAGTCTTATTCGTGATTAAAATTGAGGTGAAATCGAATGAAACGAAATTAAAAATGAAACTAAAATTCTATGCAAATGTTAATTAAAATTAGATTAAATTCTCAATGGTATTTAATTTTAAAGTCGTACAAATTTTAAAATCACTTAAAAAAAAATCGTGTATGATTGGAGTTGGATGTCAAAAACGAGCCCAAAACGAAGTAATTAACCTTTTTACTTGTGTAATCAAGTCGACAACCCATTCATCAAAGTATCGTAAGTTGAGTTCTGACTGAATTTAAGAATGATGAAGATATACGAGATCGGTCGAAATCCAGCAAATGTTCGAAGAGTTTCAGAGAAACGTGCTTTTTGTGGAGCCAGAAATTATAAAAAATGAGTACTGAAACAGGTCTAAATCAATACGGTTTGGAGAGTTCGTCATTCGTAATAAACGAGTTTTAAAGCGCATTGTTTCTGGGAATAGGGGTAAAAATAAAACGTTAAAGCGGATTGATTTACGAGGAACATAATTGTCTATTATATCATTACAAAAGCGACGATGATTTAGAATCAAAATGCCAAAAAAGAGTTGTCTAAACTCAAGTAAAGATTTCGGATTGCAGGAATATTAGAATCTCAAGTTAGGCCAGGGTTCAGAGTACATTGATTGAATATATTGACCTTGACGTGACCTTGAACTTTAGATCTCTCCTAGGGCAGTGAGCTTGAGCGATAATATGATACTATTATAATACGATTATAATGTGATACGATTACCTAAACAGAAGCCATGAAGATTATTTAGATCAAATTGCAATCTAGAACAACAACGTGAAAAGTTGCCGAGAAAACGTTTTATATTGTTAGTTTACATTGAACACTGAATATGCTTAAGAACATCAACTTTGTCATTAAAAATATGTAAATATTAAATAATAAAAGATCATGAAGGAAAACCAGAAGCAACTGACACAGGGTTCGAGAAAAAATCATTAACTGTAACAATTTGACTTCACTCCTTCGGAGAGGAAGCATGCTATTGAAAAAGTAACTTTACAAGAATAATCCGCTTAAGATAAGATATACGACCAAAAAATATCATGTTGTTTACAATTAATTTTAGACTGAAAAGCAAAGAATAAAGATACTTGAACTAGTTTTTCAGATACTTGCTGTAAAACTGGTAAAATAAATATGCTTGACGAAGAATTCATAAAAACATACCCAAAAAACGTTTCATTCCTTCAAATAACATTCGCACCTCTTTCAGGCTTAACAAAAGACATTCAAAATTAGAATTTCGACGTTCTGATTGTAGCCGATGCACAACTAAAAATTCCGGACATTATGGCACAGAGAGTAAAGTGTCACCGACAGCGTCAACCCCAGTAAACCACATGGACTGAAAAAACATAGAAAAGTGAGCGTCAATAAGAAACACCTCCGCCTTATAAACTGTTAATGGCACCGTTTGGTCAATTTTGTCCAAAAAGAGAAGTATTAAACAATACATTTTTTCCGCTTGCCTTATTTCTGTTTTTTGTTTCTGGCCTCGTGCGGCAACCTTGATACATGACTAGGAGATCTTCTTAACCTTACACTGCTTCTAGACGATTGCGAAGATCGTGAATTTGTAATTCTGGACTATCCGTCTATAATCTAGTTATTGCAAAATCCGCTTGCGTACGACAGCTCTGGGCAATCATTACGCAAGGATAACGTAAGGAGGTGTAAACTGCAAACTATATTCTAACATATCATAACGGATTTACAATTGAATTTGAGTATGCATAGTGTCAAGAGAGAGAGCATCAACCCCTAAACTATGTGGACAAAATATTAAACAAGAAAAAATAATGAATATTAAATTCTATCCGCTTTTCTGTTGTCCTTCTGATATCGTTAGTATGTTATGCCAGAAAGAAAGTAAAAGGAAGTTAAACTTCTTTCTAATATGCTTATTTACTGGGATCTTTCTGATGTCTTTTTAGCTTTAAAAATGTATTAATCCAGAAGAAAAATTAAAGGAAACCAAATGTTTTTTTATTGAGTATATCTTCTTGCTGATTGCCTGTCATGTTTCTATTCTCTTTCTCAAGACTTTAGTTTGTCAAGCCAGAAAGAAAGTAAAAGGAAATCAAACTCTTTTCTAACTTCTTCTGTATATTTAATGGATACTTTCTGATCGCCTTCGTTTTGTTTTCTTTCTACCCGCTTTAAGATGATAAGCCAGAAAGAATCTAAAAGAAGCCATATTTTTTTCAGACTTTTCTTGTCTATTTACTGGGTGTCTATTTAAATCTTTCTGCTCTTTGTAATATATTGAGACAGAATAAAAGTAGAAGAAAACAAAACTTGTTTTGTCATTGTTTCTGATTGTTTTCGCAATGTTTTCTTTCTAATCTTCTTAATATGATAAGCCAGAAAGAATCTCAAGGAACCAAACTTTTTTAGGTATGTTTGTCTATTTACTGGATTCTTTATTGTTGCATTCTAATGCAATCTAATCGTTTTTGCTTATGTACAGGGTGTCCCAATTTCGATGTCCGCATAGGCTATCTCCGAAACTAAAAGAGATAGAAAAAAAGTAGTTTACATGTCATGATCTCGTTTTTCGAGAAAATGCTAATGCCGAAAATTCCGAACAGGTATCGTCTTTTGTATTCGCCCTATCGGCAAAAACTGAAAATTTTGCAAAAACGACAATCGCGAATATTTCACTTATTATCAAAGATGGTGTATTATAAATAAAACATTATATGGGCAACTTTTTACGAAGAATTCAGTGGCGTAGGTAGAATTTTCTTCCCATCTTTTATTTTCGAGATTTTAGACGTAACTTTATTTTTTTAAATGGAAACCATAGTTGGCTATGACTTAAAATAATTTGTTATTTTCTTCTGATAACAAATATATATAGTTTGTGGGGTATATTTCTTATAGTTATTGAATAATTAACAAAAATTCATTTTGTTCCATCTAAATCTAATGTATGTATTTAAAAGTTAATGTTGCTATGGTGATAACCATACATACTATGATGGAATATAATGTATCAATTTTGTTTGTTCTTTCTAAAACTATTGTATGTATTTAAAACTTAATGTTGTTATGGTGATAACCATACCATGAGGGAAAGCATTGTTTCCAATTATTGCCAATGTTTCTAGCAAGGACAGTAGAATCTAACAGGACTGCTACATCCATTGTATTTTTGTAGTCGACTACGGGTTGGTTGCCCGCACTCTACGTCACACTATTTGCCACGCCTGATAACTGTCTATGTTTTTAGAGGTTATATGATAGACATTAATACGTCTAAAAACATAAAACTTCAAAACTAATATGAATACATCTAGGATATGATCTCTAAAAACACACAGCAAACACATAGACCATAGCAACAGCTAGGCGTGGAAAATGGTGTGACGTAGTTTGCGGGTAGGCTGTCACAACAATGGATGTAGCAGTCCTGTTAGATTCTACTGTCCTTGAGTTTGTAGTAGTATTTAAAAATTCACTAACAACTCTGGCATTATGTGCTGGTGCTCCGTCATATTGAAAATATATCATTTGAGACATATTTAGTGGCAAATTGTCGTCCAAAGGCTCAATGTGCTGCCTTAATATATTGAGGTATTTCCCTGAGTTTAAGTTTTTATGGTAGATACTATATGCCAAAATTCTATTATCTAAAAGGGCACACCATACATTGAACCCCAATCTTCTTTGAACACTCAGAGACTTCATCGGTCCAGATTACATTTTGAACAAACAGCAGATTATTTAATTTTTTTAAATATCATCTACAAAATCTTCGATTGACATCTCCGGCACGTAAATAATCAGTTAGCCCCGCTTTGTATGGTTTATACTTATTTTTCTTTCATATTCGGGAGCAGCGTCTTTTGGGTCAGAGATCTTGTTGCAATTTCTCTTGCAGGTCATTTTGGTATGTTTTTGTATGTGGTTTGGGGAAGGACCAAATATCTATTAAATTTTCTGCTGACCGGCTGAAGGTTCATACGTGCGGTTGTCTTCTTTCTGGATATCTTGTGAAATAAAATTCCGCGGCTAACGTCGCATTCTTATCTGATAACATATAGCATTCCATCATGTTACATTTTTCATAATTTTCGAAATTCATTGTAAAGTTTTATTCAGTTTTGTTATACTTTGACACTTAACACGCTGGTGCATAATGCCAGCACATAATGCCAGAGTTGATATCGAATTTTTAAATACAAACTTTGGCAATTATTTGATACATTATGTTCCATCATAGTATGTATGGTTATCACCATAGCAACATTAACTTTTAAATACATACATTAGTTTTAGACAGAACAAAATGAATTTTTGTTAATTATTCAATAACCATAAGAAATACACCCTACAAACTATATATATTTGTTATCAGAAAAAAATAACAAATTATTTTAAGTCATAGCCAACTATGGTTTCCATTTAAAAAAATAAAGTTACGTCTAAAATCTCGAAAATAAAAGATGGGAAAAAAATTCTACCTACGCCACTGAATTCTTCGTAAAAAGTAGCCCATATAATGTTTTATTTATAATACTCCATCTTTGATAATAAGTGAGATATTTGCGAATGTCGTTTTCGCAAAATTTTCAGTTTTTGCCGATAGGGCGAAAACAAAAGACGATAGCTGTTCGGAGTTTTCGGCATTAGCATTTTCTCGAAAAACGAGATCATGACATGTAAGCTACTTTTTTTCTATCTCTTTTATTTTCGGAGATAGCCTATGCGGACATCGAAATTGGGACACCCTGTACTGAATTCTTTTTGGTTACCTTCTTTGTTTCCTTTTTGATCTCTTTAATTAAGCCAAAAAGAAAGTTGAAAATCAAACATCTTTCTTACTTTTTCTGTCAATTTACTACTGAGTCCTTTCTGGTTGCTTTCATTGTGTTGTTATTCTAGTCTCTTTAATATGTTGAGGCAGAAAGAATCAAAAAGGGACCAGAAATAAAAAATCGCCAAACTGATTGTCAGTTTTCGGTCTTGGTTTGCCTTTATTCAAACGTTGCAATAAAAATTTAAATTAAAGCACTTCTAAATTAAGAAAAACTTATAGAATAGAGCCAAAATATGTAAAAATAAAAAACAAAGTGATTTCTTTCTGATTTTTTTTTAAAAGGTAGAATGTAGACATCAGAAAGCCAAATTTCACATCCTTGGTTCTTTCTGGTTTCTCTACTGCTGCTTTCTGGGTTATTTTATTTATATAAAATAGAAGGCAAAAAATTGTAAAGCTCGTTATAAGTTTTTCAATCACTCTGCAATATATAGGCAACGACCTCAGTTATTATGTTCTATTTGTTGGTCCATTCTTTTTAAAATTTGTAAATCTAAGCATCAGTTACCTATAAACCCTAAACACAGATACAGCATCAGTATTTTTGATTTCATGAATAGAGTTGAAACTCCAGCATTTAATATCTGTGTAAATATTTACTTTAATCAGATTTCATTTCAAATAATTTATTATTAATCTTCTTGTATCATTTTATTTCGTTTAAATTTCTCTATTTTATATTTTCTAATTTCCACCTTTTGATCGTTTCATATACAGTTTGCAAACGTTATCCACTTCTTTTGACACGCAGAAGTTTCCTATATGAGGTATATATTGATGTTGTTTGGTGAGTATCAAATAAAGCTTATTTCGAGGAAGAGCAATTAAACGATGTTGTGTGTAGGCTTGTTTATTAACCCCTTAACGGTTAGTGGCTTCTATAGAGACCACTTGTCAATAAGGTCAAATAGCTGCATTACCACAACTAAATCGTTTCTAAAAAAGGAATTAAAAAAATAATTTGCCCGTTAATTTGCGTGCTTATTTGATGGTATAGTTCAAAGTAAGTTTATCTTTAATAATACTCTATATATTTTATGTGAAAGAATTATTCATTATCGATTAGTTCCATTCAACGTTACATAACATATTATAATTGCAATCAACGTGATTTACAGGTAAATAGACAATTAAGTTAATAATTACTTCACAATTAAAACATTATGATTTATCAATAAATGTTAAATTATAAACTAACCTGTTGAGTGCTTATACTTCCCTCGTTATTATCAGATGGCGGCCGAACTGAACATAATTTTTTTCCCATCATCGCATAAGCCCATATAATAAGACATCCTAAAATTAATAATTAATAAATGCAAAACAAAAAGTTATTTTATTGTTGACAAACCTGGAATAGCAAACATAACATTAAAACAAACAACGCCAAAAATTTTTTTTGAATAAATTTCTCCAACTGTATTATTAAATATTTGCCAATTAAATTCTCCACAAAATGTCATTGTATTATTACTATTACTAGTAGGGTAAGGGAATATTTGAACATCGACGACGAAAACTGTTGGTAAAAAAATTATCATTGAAAGCATCCATAATATTGTTATAATAACCAAAGCTGCTTTATGATTAATACAAAAACGACGCGACGTTCCAAATGGTTGAGTAATAGCTAAATATCTATCCAGTGCCATTGTTGTTATCGTAAAAACACTAGCAGCAACTGAAATACCTTAAAAAAAATAATCAATACAGAAACAGAATACATCTAAGATGAAACAATTAGGTAACGAATCCGGGGAAATTTGAATAATCCTTTCTCGTTCGTCCTTTATAAGAAGTCGGAAGAGAAAGAAGTCGACTGTCGGAGATTTATTCTGAATATTCTATCTATCCTTGTCATTATGCGATTTCGAATTCACGGTGACAGACGCGGCAATATTCAAGGGGAAATCGAAATTTAGATGGAAATTTCAAGACAGTGCTGACGTTGAAACGCACCGGATTGGACAGACAAGCGAGAAATTTGCAAATGCTTTAACGATAATGGGTAACAACACATTAACCGAGATGATAAATAAAGCGTATCTGTTGAGCAATTTACTATATGAGTATTTATTAGAGTTGTACCGCAAATTAACCATCCTCGAAACCTCATTGTTTCATCTCAATTCACACCCGACTTAATAGATAATTTACCACACCAACAGATGCTAAGGGATCAATTACTTACATTGCAAATACGACCAACCTACGCAAGCAAAATTACCTAAGTACCATATTTTTGTATAAGCCACAGCTGCTGCACTTGGCATACAAACAATTGTTACCAAAAGATCTGCCACCGATAAGTTGACCAGGAAGTAATTCGTTACGCTAAAACAAAAAGTTTTTTTTGGTTTTATAATAAATGGGTGGATAAAAAAGGTAAAACTTTCTAGGGATGTTTAGGATTTGATTAATGATAAAATCCATCTAGTCATTCACGTCGAGAATATGTCAGGTTTTTGTGGGCAAACCAGGAAAATCCATTTACAAACGTCGCACTTATAAAATATTATAATTATGATGGTATCAATTTTATTTATTTAATTCAATTTAATTGGATTCGGTCGTGAATTATTTTTAAATACAGTGGTGAATTAAACGTTACAAAAATATAATTTCATTTAATACTTTTGTTGAAGGCAATAGATAATTTGGTTTCAGAATTATGATCAATTAAACCTCAAACGGCGAAAGTTCGATTTATTACAGCAAAATCTAAATATCTTTCAATCCGGCGTTACACATACGAAAAATGGAGTTACATAATATCATAACTAAATTAGCAATATTTTCTTAAACTCTACATCAGTTCAAAGCCCAGCGTTTTTATGAAAAATCTACTTGTCATTTTCATCTAGCACATTTGCACCACCTTTAGAAAAGTTATAGAAACTTATACTTTCGAGAAAACTCTTCTCTCGGTTGCTGCACCAAGTGATCCATCATAATAATAATGTGTTGCTGGTAGACATCAACATTTTGGCATATACAGGGTTTTCCAAAACTCCCGGGACGGAGCTATAAGTTTTGAACGAGTGAAGAACAAAATTTGAAAATTTGGGAATCACTAAAGAGTCATAAAAGCTACATTCTTAGATAGTTTACAACTTCCATGCAATGTGGAGTTTTTTAGGGGATGACCACCCCTACTTTTTTAAATAGCAACCCCAGTAGAGTTTTACCTTATTTTAAAGGTAATGAAAAAAGAAACACAACCCCATAAACCAAAACCCGATATCTTAATTCTTTCAAGAATTATGAGGAGTTGACTACCAAATGGGAAAATAAAATGTTTTCATGCTTTTTTGCACTTTTATTACGATTTTTATAACAAATGTTCAAATTGTCAACCTTCTTCGGTCTCGCAATAACCCAAACGCTCATAGATGGAATTTTGAACCATCAGGAGCATATCTCAAGTGATATTGGTGGTTCTTCAAGTATGCGATTTTCCAAATCATTGATTGATTCTGGTTTTGTTGCATACACTGTACTTTTCAGAAATCCCCAAAAGAAAAAATCGAGTAGTGTTAGATCAGCAGATCGTGGTGGCCACTCAATGTTACCTCTACTACTAATTCAACGGATTGGCAACGTACGGCATAAACAGTTTCGGGCTAAAATGTGGAGGACTACCATCTTGTTGGAACCACTTATTGCCAATACCATTAGGGCATACGGCACCTACACTTGGAACCACTTGATTTTCTAACACATGCAGGTATCTGTCTCCGTCCAAATTTCCATTAATAAAAAATGAACTAATTACATTCTCTCCCAATACCAGCCCATACATTAATTTTCGGCGGTCTTTGAGTATTACCTTTTCTTGTTAGGCGTACATTTTTGTCACTCCAATAACGACAATTGTACCTATTAACCTTACCATTCAAATAGAAAGTAGCCTCATCAGAGAAAACAACGTTCAAAAGAAAGTTTCTGTCACCATCACATTTATACTATTTCATAGAATTCCAACCTTCTTTCGAAGTCACCTTCGTTCAATTCCTATTTTCCCATTTGGTAGTCAACCCCTCATAATTCTTGAAAGAATTAAGATATCGGGTTTTGGTTTATGAGGTTGTGTTTCTTTTTCCATTACCTTTTAAAATGGTAATTACCTATTTAAAAATGTAGGGGTCATTCCCTAAAAAAACTCTACATTGCATGGAAGTTCTAAACTATGTAAAAATAAAGTTTTTATGATTCTTTAGTGATCCCCAAATTTTCAAATTTTTTTCTTCACTCGTTCAAAACTTATAGCTCCGTCCCGGGAGTTTTGGGAAAGCTGTATGATAAAAGTATTATGCATTTTTGACAACCAAATAAACTTATTTTTGAATCTCTAGTTTTTGCTAACATGATTTATTTTGGAATGCTATGCAACTTTTTTTAACGGAGCATACCAATGTCAAAGAAATCCATCAACAATTCCTAACTTTTGTACTAGTCATCAGATTTCATTTCGATTTTTACTGAGCTTCTCAACAATATTAGTACAAAATTCAAAACATAACAGGAACGTGCACCAACTAATAGTTGCCTTTGATTCCGTACTTAACGGATTTATTAAGCAAATACTGCTTGCAGCAATGCAGTTTTTCGACTTTTCCAGCATTTTTCATCTTTCCAGCAGCTTATTTGTGGATTACTAATTTTAGTATGATTTTGCATATTATAATTATGAAGATTGGAATGAAACATTCCTATTAAATATAGTAATCCTTAGAATATTTTTATTTCAGAAACTAAATTAGTTGGATTTATGCTGGATTTACTTCGGCAATAGATTTCTCCATACTATGACATTAACCATGCTATGATACAAATTAATGTTCTTAAATCATTACCATTTTTGGATAGTAGGCTTATGTCGATGGTAAATTGTTTCAAAGTACAAAATGTCAAAGTATAACAAGACTGAATAATACTTTACAATGAATTTCGAAAATTATGAAAAATTGTTTCTTCACGCTTTAATTGGAAATTTCAAAAGAAAACTACTTGTGTTAACATTTCTTCACGCTTTAATTGGGGGTTTCAAAAGAAAACTGACCTATCCTAACATTACCCAATCTTTTTGTTAGAGTTGATTGACATTTGTAAACAAAACCAACCTGGTGGAGAACCTAATTCAACTTTTCTTTTCTGGAAGTCATTGCGCATTTATTTCTAAATCTTACTATGTTAAAACATATTCTTTGATATTTTGCTGGAACTGCGTAGAACAGGCAATAGTTATACTCTATCTTTGCTGATAAGTAAGATATTCGCTTTTGTCGTTTTCGTAAATTTTTCAGGTTTTTCCAATAAGATGAAAAGAAAAGACGATAGCTTATATAAGATACATTTTTTTTCTATCTCTCTTAGTTTCGGAGATAGCCTATGCGGACAACAAATTTTGGACACCTGTACAGATGTATATCAATTGACAGCTTGACTGTGAACGAGTCAAAAAGTTTGGAGAAATCGATACAACACTGGAAATACAAAAATTAAGACGAACAAGGTCATCAAGAACGGCAGAAAATGTTGAGATTGTAAATATTAGTAACGATCCGCACCTTTCAATTGGGAAACGCGCAAGTGCTTTAAAGTCCGCGTTATTCATCTTAAACTACACGCCTTCTAAATCCAACTGGTGCAAGAATTAAAGTTCTTGGATATCATGGTCAGAGACTTGGCTTCGTTAGCATCGATCATCGAATATTGTATTTAACATCTGGATACTAGTATTAAACACTGTAGTCGATATCAGATCTAATTGCTAATCATTATGGATGCATATTATAATTACAAAAAACAATTATGGCTTGTTGTGGTTACAATAATGTACTTAACTTCTGGATACTGCAAATAATCATATGTTGTGCGTCGTTAATAAAACCAAAAATTTTATGTATACGTAGTTTAACTTCAAAATACAAACATAGGAATTGAAAAATACCATAGAATATAAACTGCTATTTATGCAACCCAAACAACGCACCACTAAAGTATTGAAATTATAATTAAAATAACAACAGAACTGTTTCATAAAAATCCGTAAATCTTAATAACAAAGATAGTTGTTTTTCCTTACATTCTGTAAATTTGTTTTTAGTGTACCAAGGTTTCTTGTTCTTCCTCTCTTTCTTTACTATTAGGACTGTTGTTCCTGATAAGGTTGCTTCTAAAATATCACCTGAGATGTTGACTGTTAGTTTTCTCTCATTGGTCGTCAGCCTCGTGGTCTGGTTCCAGGCAGGTTATTTGTAAGCACAATTTTCGACAGTCTGTTATATGGAATTCTACGAACGTTGTTCACTGCATTGTTTTCCCATCCAACCATGTCCTGAACATCGCATTAGTTTTTGATGTCAGAGTTCTTAATTCCTATCTGGCCTTTCCTTTGTGTCTTCGCGTATTTTAATGCCGTTATGCATTATTTGACTGACTATGGAGTCACTTTACTATCCATACGAATGAATTTGTTAGTCCAAACAATATTACGTAGGCAGCTTGAAATTGGATATGTACTTTGTTGATCTGACCTAATCATGTAATGTACACCATTAGTTTATGAATGTGTTAAGTAAAGAAAGATCGTATAAAAATGGGGAAAGTGTCAACGATTCGAAGAATGATCAATAAATTTGAAGAAATTAGGTCGATTAATAAACGAGACTATCGTCAAAAACCAAGAAACATTCATTCAACATCATACACAACAATTTCAAATTTCGATAAGTACCACGCAGCGAATTGTAGGATAAACTACAAGATGCAGCTGACTCAAGAATTCAAACCAACAGATTAATACAACGAGTTACTCCTTCATGCACATTTTGGGCAGACGGCGTGTTTGGGTAATATTTTTTTTTTTTTAATGTGGACTGAACCGTAGGACTTTTGTAAAAGAACTCTGTCTATAATAAGAGAATCCACGTAAAAAGTTTCGGCGATCAGGAATGCAACAACTTCTTAATTTCGGGAAAGTAGGATGCTTAACACTGTTCTGTAACATTAGAAAACGATTCCGAATGGGTCAACTAAAATCCCGAGGAACATTAGACGTGCTTAGACGTCGAGGAGATATATAGCCCTTCGTCTACGGTGCCAGAACAACTCCGAGCGTGGTTAAACTAAAATGATTTTGAGTTAGTCACGATAGAGGAGGACGTTAGGGAATAGGAGGTGAGGAAGGAGGTTGCAAAAGGATTCCGATTTTTAAGCCTACATACATAGGTAAGCGTAAAAATTTTCTTTGGGATGACGAATTTAAAATTTTCTGTTGGTTAAAATAATTGAATAGAATTAAGAAACTTATTTATGTAAATCTCGGGAGA